GTGTTGAGATCCAGCTGTGGTCTTTTCAGTTAATCGTGCTGATGACCAGGACCTTACATGGATTATCCATGGTGTTGAAAGACTTTACACCCAACATTTCCAGGAGCCTCCTATCCCAGGGTGTGAGGGCACTGGTGCTTCAGAGGTAGAATTCTCACTTTTCACGCAGGAGACTTGAGTTCGATTCTTGCCCAATGCACCTCATGCACAGCCACCACCGGTTTGTTATTGGAGGCTTGTGTGTTGCTATGATGCTGAAAAGGTTTTAGCAGAGATTCCAGACTATGGTGGACTAGGAAGAAAGGACGGATGATCTACTTCTGAAAATCCTAATCCATGGGATTAGTGGTTACCAGGAATGGGAGGTGGGGGGGGGGGCAGAAGTATCACCATCCTCACTTCTTAGGAGCATTCTGGTTGTATTTCTTCCAGGACAGATTTGTTCCTTTTTCTGGAAGTCCATGGTATAGTCAATATTCTTTGCCAACACCATAATTCAGAGGCATCAATTCTCTTCAGTCTTCCTTATTCTTTATTATGCTCTTTTAAGAACTATTTATATGGGATCAAAGTGACACAGCAACTGGAAAGATTAGATAGGAACCTTAGGGGGCAGTGAGTTTATGTTAATGAGAAAGGAACAACTGAGAAAAGGAGGGTGAGCACGGTTGCACAACTCGAAGAATGTAATCAGTTTCATTGAATTGTACGTGAGTTGGTGTATGTTTTACTGTGTATATTCTCAACAACAATAAAACTCTATGGAATACAATGGTTCAATCTGCAACAGATCATGGGGATGGTGCAGGCCTGGGCAGCGTTGTGTTCTGTTGTGCATGGAGTCACCACCATGAGTTGGAGCCAACTCGCTGTCAGCTAACAGCAACCTATCCAACCCTGAATCCTGGGAGCTAGGCTAGGGGAGCTGGGGAGAGGCAGCACTGAGAGCTGTCCGTGGTCCTGAAAACAGCCTTGCTTCCCCTTCCCATTGGCTGAGATGCCACCACAGTGGTATCTGTGGTTCCAGGCCTCAGTCTGGTTTTGATGCTCTGATTCTCGGTCCAACTTAGACCTCAGCCAGAATCTGGCCTTTAGAGAGCCAGACAACCCCATATGACTCAGGGCAATCATGCTGTGAGTCCCTGGCATGATCTTGACTGAAATCAGCTCTGCCCGGAACCTCAGTCCTGACAGCCCCTACACCAGAGCTGGCCTCTGGCTGGAAAACTGCATTTCCACCTCCGCCTGTTGGATGTTGGGCTCCCTGGGAAAGCAGAAAGAGATATGTGTGCAGGGAGTTTATTGGGGTTATATTATGACACAGAAGGGAGGGGTTTAAAATAGCTTTAGAGCAAACTGTAAATGTACACTGTTGTCCATTCTAAGCCAGTATGAACTGTTTCTGATATTCCTTTCTGACAGGGATGGAAAAGAACATATTTGTCAGACCAGTGATCACATACCACGTATCTGAGGCCATGTAAATCTTCTCTAGCAAAAATATCACATCTGACACAGTGGTTGCAATTGGGGCTACAATGTACAGAGTTGCAGTAGTATGCTTTCATCCTCCAGGACTCATTTGTCTTTTGTAGGGATTAGGCTGGTGAATTTGATGGTGATGACTACCTCTACATTCTTTAGGTCTTTAAAGGTGGCACTAATCTCTGCCATTCCCCCAGGAAACAATATTGCTTTTGATTTAATATTTGACTCAGGGGACAAGGTCACTTTCAAAGGCTTCCACTATGATACCTCTTATCCCGCAAGTCAAGGACGTGGGGCTTCTGCCAGCTATCATGTATGTCCATTCCAACTACACATCCAGAGACTGGGGAAAAATGATCACCAGATGGGTCTCTGAGCCCAGTGAGAGCCAGACTTGGGCCATTTATTATCCCCATATGCCCTCATTCTAACAGAGAATGCTATGGTGACACTTTAGGTCCCCAGGTGTCAAGGTGTAAATGTCAACTTGGACAAAAACCCAAAAATGTTTGTGTGTGTCCCAGTGTACACTTATCCAAGTAAATGGCCATAGATCACTTTGGGGAAGGGCTGGGGAAACATTACTGTGTATACTTTGCCATGATGGTGTGTGGCTCTTCCTCTTGGAGACCTGTCCTCTCATTGAGTTTTGGATCTGAAAACTGGACAAAGGGACTGTGAATTTTATTGCAACAGTTGCCCTCAGCCTCCTGATCATCCATCCGTGAATTCTTTTTGTTGTGTGTCTTGGTTAATACCCTTGGCTACCCATCTTTCTTGACTTAGGGATACCATGTTCTATTAACCACCTGCAAAACTTTCTGCAGGTCAGCCCCTCTTGGCCGCCACACTGATGTTGCTACTCATTAGGATAATTGTGCACACCCTGTTAGTGATGGTTAAGCACTGGCACATGGTTTCTACTGTTTCAGGATCCTATCATCCCCATGACGACGACGATGATGATGATGATAGGATCCTGAAATAATAGTGGTGCAGTGGTTAAGAGCTCAGCTGCTAACCAAAAAGTTGGCAGTTTGGATTCACCAGCCACTCCTTGGAAACCCTATGGGGCAGCTCTACTCTGTGCTCATTGCTATGAGCTGGAATCAACTCGACGGCAACGGGTTTGGTTTTTTGGTTTTGATCATCCCCATCGGAGTCCAGGTGGCACAGTGGTTAAGAGCTTGGCTGCTAACCAAAAGGTTGGCAGTTTGAATCCACCAGCTACTCCTTGGAAATCCTATATGGCAATTCTACTCTGCCTGTAGGGTCGCTATGAGTCGGAATGGACTCGACAGCAACGGGTTTGGTTTTTGGTTTTTGTCATGCCTATTGACATCATGGCGCCTAGTTCTGTAAGGGCATCTCCTGCCTTCAGCCCTGTCCTACAGAGGAGAGCACCAATGAATTTCTCATTGATGCTGGTGCTGCTCTCATCAGTGTATTCTATATTGCCTTAGAAAATTAGGACATTCCATGTTCTTCCACAAAACAGCCATCTGGTGGACTTCAGCCTTATGTAGTATCTCCACTCCAGCATGACCACTTTTTTGAGCCTTTTGATCTCTACCATTACTACCTGCCACAGCAGTTCTGTCATTTCTGCTTCATTTGATGTGGACTATTGTTTTCTCCAAATTTCCAAGAACCATCTGAGTAGCATGTTAGCATCGTCTTCCGGGGTCCTTACCATACTGTTAAATCCTGCCAGGAGAGTGCTTCCTATCAATGACTTCTTCTTTTCTGTCCTCGTGACATGGCACTCTCAGGATCAAGTCCTGTATGTACTTTCCTGCTCCTGTTGGTGCCTGTTTGCTAGGTCCTTCACCTTTCCCAGGGTAGAGTCCTTTTCCACCCTGAACAAATCCAGCACGTGCCCAGGTAGGTCATGTTGCGACTTAACCCTAGTTATTGGTCTAGTGGAGTAGGGGCAGATCCTGAGGAGGGCATGTGTAGTCTTGCAAGACAGAGACCTGTGTAATGTCTTCAATTAAAAGAGGAGCACCAACCTTTAATATGGAGAAGTAGGACTCTTCTGCAGACCCAGAGGGTTCAGGGGAATGAGGGATTTGAGATTTTTGCCTATATCAACCCAGGTGTCCCCATCCCATTTCTCAGGGTCCCATTCCTTCTCGGTTAGGTGCCTGCCATTGCTGAGACTTTAACCTCTCTGAAGCTCTGCTACTCTTATGATTAAGTCCGGGGACTGGTCCTCTCGCTGCACAAGATGACAGTCCCTGTATGCTGCCAAAGAGACAGCAGCCAATCAAGTCCAGTGTCCCTAAGTTACCATTTACCCCATACTTCTCAACCTTCTGATACCTTTTTGGGCCCATCAGTGCGTTTCTTTCCACCAGTATACCATTCTAATTCACCACCAGTAATGATTCTAACAATTGCTACCTCTTTCTAGGGGCTATCTGTGCTCCACCGGTAGGGGGCGTCATCGCCAGCTGATCTGCAGGTGATTGAACTCTAAATTTTCGTCTTAGCATCTGCTTTCCAGACCACTGGCACCAACAGTCAGGTTGCCCGGGCAGCAGATTCTGAGGAATGCATTAGGGTGCCCTGGGGTCAACCCTTGTGGGGGAGGGGAGGGATACAGGAGTGGGCGGAGGGAGAAGTCAGGCTGGGATTTAATCAGCCAGCCCCTCAGGGAACTCTGGAGCTAGGATGACCCTGCAGAGTTGTCCTGAATTGGGGCGTGGGGACCAGGCCTTTATACTCCACATCAACCAGTTGCTGGATGCAGGCAGCCCTGGAGAAGGAGGTGTGACCTTGGATGAGGCAACTTTCATCAGCAGTCAGTGAGCTCTGGAGGGAGACTCAGCTATGAGCTGTCAGTCACAGAGTTTCCACGGCATCCACTACACAGCCCATCATGCCCAGAATCTTATCGGAGCCCACCCTCCGTGGAGCCTTCACCTCTGGCTCACACCACCCCCACTTGACCCCATCATTCCACATGTGACAGAGAGTGCCTCAAGCCTCCCTTGTGGGGGACAGTTTTTCCAAATTGCTTTGCTTACTTGGAGATGATGGAAAATAAACCGTGGCTGATGTTATTTAATGAGCTTCTTTTTCAGTTTTATAGGAGCCTTTTCCTTCCAGGTATTGCTGTTTACCTTCTGAGATACAAGCAAGATCTCTGCAAACCAAAATAGCTTTTTTTTTCCCAACAGAACACTTTAGAGTTCTAAAATATGTTCACACAATTTTTTTTTACCAACTTAATTGGGGGATAATTTATATATATAAGAAAACATATTCACTCTAAGTGAGTTTTGACAAATGCACACCCCTAATTGAGATATACGACATTTGCATCACCCCAGAGCATTCCCTCAGGCCCCTCTTCACTCACCACCCTCCACCTCTGCCCCAGGCAACCACCGAGCTTGTTTCCAAGTGGAGATCAGTTTTACCTCTTCTAGAATTTTATGTAAGTGAGATCCTACAGCGTGTACTCTGTTATATCTGGCTTATTTTGCTCAGCCTGTTTGTAGAGGGCATTGGTGGTTCAGTGGTAGAATTCTCGCCTTTCGTGTGGGAGACCCAAGTTCAATTCTTGGCCAGTGGACCTCATGCACAGCTACCACCTGTCACCAGAGGCTTACGTGTTGCCATGATGCTGAACAGGTTTCAGCAGAGCTTCCAGACTAAGATGGACTAGGAAGAAAGGCCTGGTGATCTACTTCTGGAAATCAGCCACTGAAAACCCTATGGATCACAACAGTCTAATCCCTTTGTACATGGGGTCACCATGAGCATTCGGGGGCCAACTCGACCGCAGCCAACAGCAACATTTGTGAGATTCATCCATGGTGTTATGTGATGGTAGTAGTCTGTTTTCTTTTATTGACAAGTAATGTTCCATATACTACAGTTGGTTTATTTACAAATTGTTGATGGACGTGTTATTTTAATTTATTGGACACAGGCCATGTTGTCCTAAGTGAAGCTCAGGCAGAGACATGGCGTGTACCGGCCATGCAGCCAAGAGGGTGTCAGTGGGAGGAGGGCTCTGTGAGCTGGGCTTCACTTCACTCCAGCATCACTTAACAAAAGACCCCCTAGGAATTAACAATCTGGCCAAATAATGGTGCATTTTGTTATTTCTTTCAAGGTGTGTATTTTTCCAGAAGGTGCTCTGGTCATTTTCTTTGGATGCTATTTCAGTTAGCATCCTGCCAAGCAATATTAATTCTCTTTTTTAATTCAGGATAACAGTAATTGAGGGGCAGGCCTGCAGAGCAATCAGCTTGGCAGATGCACGTCAGACTATATATCATAACATGAGACATTTTGAGAAAATTGCTTTTCCTCCTTGAATGCCAAGTCATAAATAATTTCAGGTTGGAAAGAGCTCTGGGAAGCGTGTGTTTGACTCCGGGGTACGGCCTGTAAATACTGGGAGCCATGGAATAAAAAATGAGGGGGCAGATTTGTGGGGTCACTTCTAGTCTGGACCTTGCTATAACTTGTAGTAGACGGTGTAGGTGCCCCGCCCAGACCAGCTTTACTTGGTGGGTGCACCCATCCCCGGTTGCTATGAGTGTGGGTTGCTAATGGCTGATACACCTGCACCCTCAATCAGAGACTTGCCCTCCGCTGACAGGAGTTTCATCTCCTGGAAAGTGACGCCTTGACCCTGGAGGCGACCTACAAAAAAAAAAAAAACCAAAGTCCTGATTTATAGTATTTGCCAATTTCTGTGGTGTAAATACTTCCACTGTGGCTAATCCCAAGCTACCATGCAAAAATAAATAAGTTGCTTAGGGGCATAAGCATATGCAATAAAAGCATTTTTAAAAGGCAAGGGAATATTATAAACACAGACATGAATATAGTAGTTACCCCTGGAGGGGCGGCAGGGGGATGTCTGAGAGGGGCACAAACGGCGCTTCAGTGACATTGATAAAACTCTGTTTCTAAAACTGGGTGCTGGATACCTGGGTGTTTGTTTTTATTGTTCTTTATACTGTATCTGGAGCCCTGGTGGCATGGTGGTTAAGAGCTCGGCTGCTAACCCAAAGGTCAGCAGTTCAAATCCATCAGCTGCTCCTTGGAAACCCTGTGGGGCAGTTCTGCTCTGTCCTGTAGGGTCGCTATGAGTCGGAATGGACTTGACGGCAATGGTATACTGTATATAAAGGCAATGGCGGTTCCGTGATAGAATTCTCTCCTTGTATACAGAAGACCTGAGTTCAGTTCCCAGCCGATGCACCTCAGGTGCAGCCACCACCTGTCTGTTAGTGGAGGCTTGCATGTTGCTGTGATGCTGAGCGGGTGTTAATGGAGCTTTCACACTAAAGTGAATTAGAAAGAAAGGCCTGGCTATCTACTTTGAAAATCAGCCGGTAAGAACCCTATGGATCACAACGGTCTAATCCACACCAATCCTGGGGATGGCAGAGGACCAGGTGGCATTTTGTTCCATTGTGTGTGGGGTCACCATGAGTCAGAGGCTGACCCTATGGCACCTAACAACAGCAACGTATACTGTATATATAGTATACGTTATATATTTTCTTTTGCATGAATAAAATGTTTCATCACAAACACAATTCTAAGAAAGCCTTTTAAGCTTTAAAATTGTTCTCACTGACACATATGCGGCGTGGTTTTTGGGGAGACTGCAGAAGCAGCTTGAAGGCTGGGTTCTGGCTACTCATGCATCGGCATTCTGGGTGTGAGTGCACGTTCACAAATCTGACGGGTTCTGGGGAGGAGGAGCTTGGTCCCTGTGGGTGGAGATTTCTTTCAGGAGAGACAGGAAGTGCAGGTGAGGGCAGGGCCTTGGACAGAACTGCCCTGTCCAATGCCCCCTCCCACCGAGGACCACGGAGAATGCCTGGAGGCCCAGGCCTCCCCTCCACTCGCCCAAAGCCAGTTCTTTGAGAGAGACCTTTTCCCTAGTCTCTTGCTCGCTCTCCTCCAGGGTTTACCCCTAGGACCTCAGGCCCTGGGCCTGGGGGCCCACTCCTGAGGAAAAGCCACCAGAACGGGCAGGAGAAAGAGGCCAGAGTTTACTGCCTCCCTGCATCCTGGGCCACCCGTCTTTCCACCTCCTACCCTCAAGCCTCAGGCCAGACTGTCTCTAGGGGCCGCAGAGGACAGAGACACAACCCCACATCCGCCAGCAGCCAGGCTCCTGGGGACCCACCTTCCCAGCCTCCTTGTCTTCGGTGTGGAACTTTTGATTCTCTTAATTGATTGCCCATCCAAACCAAATCCGTTATCATCGAGTGGATTCCAACTCATAGCGGCCCTATAGGACAAAGTAGAACTGCCTTATAGGATGTCCAAGGAGTGGCTGGTGGATGCGAACTACTGACCTTTTGGTTAGCAGCTGAGTTCTTAACCACTGCGCCACCAGGGCTCCTGATTGCCCATACCCAAAAACCAAACCCACTGCCGTGGAGTCAGTTCCAACTCATAGCAAAAGCAAAATAAAACGTGTTTAGTTTTCCACAAGCATGAGAACAAAAGCCTCAAGGTATCCCTAGCCACCTACCCCCCCAAGGGCGAGGGAGGAGAGGCAGTGGTGGGCACGGGCCTGACTCCCTTGGCCATGGTGGCAGTCCCCTTCGGCCTGAGCTCCCCTCCATGACAGCACCCCGGGTCCCTCAGCAGCAGCAGACGCACCCCCTTGCTGGTGAAGGCCTGAGGATTTCCTTAGGAGCTCAGATGATTATCAAGTACAAGGGGGAGGAATGGGGACGTTCTAAATTCTCCTTTTAATAATGAATCCCATTTCCTCCTGTAGCTGGTTTGCTTGCAACAGATGCTGTTGCAGAAAATGGAACAAAATGGAAGACATAAAAAAGGCGAATAATTAACTCAGCCGAAAAGCCTCCCCAGCAGATGTCGGGATGGTGGGGCAGGGTGCCCAAGGCCCGCCCCCCACGCCATTGCCTGGCACTGCTGCCCTGTGCTACAGTGGGAACCCATATGTTCAGATGCTTCATGGCTCGGCTGGGTGTTAGGGAAGCAGAGAGCCGCCCTCCCGCTGTTCAATAGCTGATGACCGTTTTTCTCCAATTAAACTGAAATTGAAGGATCCTCAGACTTAGACACCCAAGTAAAATCATTAGTGCTTAAAATGTTAATTGTGCTCAGATGTGCCTTTGCCTGTGGAGGCTGGCTGCAAACGAGCTTGCACGTAGTTCGTCCTCTGCAGAGGGAACCTGAAGACACATCTGTCCCCGCACCCCGCTCCTACCAGCACCACCAACCAGGCTGGCCTCCCAGGATCCCCGGCGTAGGCAGCCAGAGGCCAAAACCCTGGCGCCCATTCTGACAATGGGAGGCCTGTGTGACCCCTGCCCGCCTGCCCAGTCCCCTGACCTGTCAGGGACAGTGGGCCAAGGGGCTCCCACCCAGTCCAGGCGCTGACAGGCAGTGCCACATAGCAGTCAGACAGGTCAGCCCTAGAACCGGACCAGCAGTGTGGACAAGGGAAAGATACTTTTCTGAGACTCGTTCTTCTCTTGCAGAACAGGGTTATAAAATCTACCTGCTGAAGTGCCATGTGAGCCGGGGCCACTTCTTTATCGACTCTGTGTCCTCAGCACAGAACCTACACCCCCGCCAGGTCCCACATGAGTAACTACGGAAGCAGTGCCCCCCCCACCACCACCACCAGTGCCAGGGGCAGAGTCGTCATATCCTCCAGGCAGGGCTGAGGGGCCCAGCCTGGCCATTCATCAGCTTGCTCAGGGCTTGGGGTTAGGTTTTGTGCAGTGGCCTCGAGACCGTCCTCTCAGGGGTGTGGGTGTGGTGAGACCAGAAGGGAGGCCGTGCCGCCACCTGCACCAACCGCGTCTCACCAGCCTGCTCCCCAACAGCATGGAGAGGAATTCACCCCCTGAGCCTTCTCCTGCTTGTTACTTTGCCCACGCGTGAGCGCCAGCTTTTCTCTGCAGAGATGATGCGCCTAAGAGGCTTAGGCTTCTTTACGCTAAGGAAATCCACTTAGATACTCCGTGTTCCCTAATCCACCACATAATAAGATTCCTTTATCTCTTGTTGTCATGGGAAGTATATATTAACTGATTAATATTAATGTGTTGGCCAATAAATATTAATATCTGAACGGATTCATACTTCACAAGGCAGAGACGCTGATGAGCACGATAGAAGCTAGAACCAGGGCAAGCTGTCAGGGTTTGGCAGGTCCCAGAGGAGGCAGCCGGAGCCGCCGCTGCCCCTTGTCATGGACACCCCGTCATTAGGAGCGTCTGCAGAGCTGGGACAGAAGTGTGTTCGGACTCTGATTGTGGCAATTAAAATCCTTGCCATCCAAGGCAGCATATTTTATCATTTAAATAGCATTTTACAATCTCCTAACACATTTTCCCAGTAACATTGTTAAATTAGGTGATAGAAGGTCATTTTTGCTTTTGAAGCTGAAATACTGTTACCATTATTCCTTATCTGCCTGGAATTAGAAAGGTTTTGGTATTATATGTTCTAAAGGTTTCATTATCAAAATTTGCTAGACTTTCTAAAACAAACCAACAGAATTTTTTTATTTTTTGCCCTTGTTTTAATCAAAGATGGACAGAGCCTTTTGTC